CATACGTTTAATTAATTGACGTACCTGCGCGTCCTGTGTCACTACAGTGTGAAAACACCGGCGACCTCAATAACGCGAGTAAAATAAGAAATTGCGACAATGCGCAGTAACAATTAATACAGGACGGCAATTAATAACAATATTCGTGGACAGAGAAAAGGTTCCCTTGGATTTAGTACATGTAAGAAACTTGCTTAAACTTAAGGAAATCTTTTTCTTTGCGTACGTACTCGATTGCACGAAACATACTCGATTGTTGAAAAAATATCTGCTGATCCTACGAAAATTTTAAACTCTACGAAAATATATTAATTTTTCCAGAGAAAGAGAATTATGTAAGAGAATTATATAGACATGTAAATTGTGCAATAACATTTCGATAAACATGAGCTTTCATCGACGGAAAATGTGTAACGCGACGCAAAGAGCGACGTAAGAAATAACGTTGAAAAACTCAAACCGCGGCGAAACGTGATCGATCAAGCGAGAGATTAATATTTTATGCGCGATGGCTTTTCAGATTTTATCCCGGACGATGTTTCGTCCGAATAAATAAATCTTCCCCGCTGCGACGGATGGAAGCACATTCGGAGAGCGACGACTGAAAATTGCGATTGCGAGTAATCGCGATCGTAATCGGCGGACGTCAATGCGACGCGATGCATTGTCTCGACGTGGAAAGTTTTTACGTCCGCGTGATATCAATGCGATAACGAAGAAACTTCGCGGACTTCGCCAGGGGCATTCTCGAGTCCCACCGGACTTCGCCTCGATTTTCGCGCTTCTCCGATATATTTTTACGGTGAAACGTAAAGAGGAGGAAGTGGGTCAAAATTCATCCGAGCGATATTCGCGTTCATTTTACATCGCCCTAACGAAGAACCAACTCTTTAATAAGAAAAATCTTCCACACAATTCATCGGGCAAAATTATTCGTCATTGGGGAAGTGCGTGGAAAAAAAAAGTCGGCAAGGACGGGAAAATACGAGGAGTCACCCAGGCGTTTTCTCTCACGTGGTGAGACGCCGTGATGCCATTAACAACGTGACTTGACGCGGTTTCTCATCGAAGACCGCGCTAAAAAATAAACAAAAACCGCGGAAGAAGAGGACGGGAGGAGCAGGAGAAGGGACAGGATCGGACAGATGTCCGATGATGACCCGACGAGCAGCTCGACGTGCAATATTCGCGACGTAACGAATGCGCGCGCGGTGACCATCGACAAGAATGACTCGCCCGTCGAACGCCGCGCGAGAACATAAGGAGAACGAGAGGAAGAGAAGAAAAGGGGGAGAAAAAAAGACACAGAGAGAAAAAGAGTGAGAGAAGAGAGAGAGAGAGAGAGAGACAAAATCGTGCGCTCGCGGAGGGAAAGAATCGAGAAGCGCGGATGCTCTCGTGCGTCGGTGGTGTTCCTCAGACAGAGACACATAGCCCCGAGCTATGTAATTCATTACTAAAGCAATCTCACCCTGGCACCCTCTCTAGCCGTGCACCCTGCCGGCAGCCCTGCCTCCGCCCCTGACCCATCAGAGCCGCCCGAGAGAGCCGCACGTTATAATATAAAAAAAGAAGATGGTGCGCGCCGGGGTGGCGGCGGCGGCGGTGGTGGCGGCGGCGACGACGACGGTGGCGGCGAGAGGGTGGATGTACCCGGTTCGGGGAGGTCGAAGAGGGACACGGGACGGTCGGAAAGCGCCCGATTAGAATAGCGCCCCCTGACAACAAAACAAAATGAAACACAAAGCAGTGTTTTCATAATTAAAAAGATTGCGCGCGCTTCTTTCTTCCTACCGTTTCTATTCATGCCTCTTTTCATTCCTCCTCTCTTTCTCCGCGCTTCGTCCTGTTCTCCAATCTCTCCCTCGCTCGCACCCACAGGCGCACCATCTCTATTTATCTGTTTATCTCTCTCTCTCTCTCTCTTTCTCTCACTCTGTCTGAACAGAGACAGTACACGCAAGACAGAGAGGCGGAATTCAATAACCGTATTAATACGCGTCGTCTATGGAAACCGACAGACGTATTAAAATGTTTTAATCAACTCACGTGCGAGTGTACGCACGAGAGAGAAAAAGAGAGAGAAAGAGATAGAGAGAGATCGAACCGAAAATGGCGAAATGAATCCAACCGGATTCAACCGTATAGAGTTAAACGCGAACTGTTCTCTCTGCGCTCTCACGAGTCACGGAGTTTTCCGAATTAACCGAGAGTACCGACGTAAGTTCGAAGTTCATAAGGAATTTTCGGTGTCTGCTTGTTAAAGTCACACACCATTTTCCAAGCGTGCACAGTAAAAAGTTCTGCATTAAATTTAACACAATTATTGTTATCTGAGAACCAGACGAGAACAGTTTACAGTTTAACCGTGTGTGGGTTTTAAAGCAGCCGAATGTCCTTGATCGAAATACTGTTCTTCGTCACCGAGTCTTCGCCTGGTTCTCATTTCGTTATACGAAGTGAAATTGTTTTGCGTAATGCCGCGAATTTCTTGAATTAAATAACAATCAATTTTCATTATTTTCATCTGGGCAAAATCGGGCGAACTATCTGTGACGTACGCTTTTGTGATCGCTTTTATTTCAAATTCGTTATCGCGTGATATTTTTAACGCACAGGATCCGATCTGAAATGAAAATTTTGTTCCCGAAGCTGCTGGGAACAGTTCACGACAAAAGTGCTGCCTTACACGCTAACATATTGGAAATATATCGACCCGATAATTAGGACAGATATTCCGATCGCACCGTCTGCCTGTTAATTGAAAAAAAAAGAAAAAGAAAAGAAAGAAAAGAACGAGAGAAAAGCAAGGAACCTGCAGTGTCTCCGCGCTTGCAGTCAATGCGTTAAGTATCAAAGGAACGCGAGCCGGGGGGAAAACGTAAATGACGCATCCCCCCGGGAACGCGTGGCACAATGTATCAAATATATACAAACTTGCATCAATCAAATGATTGCATATTTATCCGTCGTTCCACGACCGCGTCAAGCCCGTCGCTAATTTACGGCGAGTTTAACGGAGTTTAGCTTCACTGTCGATTGCGTCGTCGATTATTTTATGCGCATACAACGCGACAAAAGCGCGAGCAAACGATTTTTCAAAACTCTCGTATCGATCAACTGGTCCTTTTTCTTTTTCTGTTTTTTTTCTTTGGAAAGTAAATGGAAGCTTGCTTCGCCTCCTCCAAATAAGATGATAGTGAAAAGTGTACAGTAGCAATAAACTAATAAGATGCAACAATGCGAGATGGATTACGATTTGTAGAGTTAGTATTTCTGACTTCAAAGGGCAGTTTTAAAAGATGTGTTAAGGTAATTTTCTAGGAAGAATCGCGTAGCGTAAACGCGACTTTTTTTTGCGCGAATTCTGCCGCGGATATGTGCGGCTACTTGTGTATACACGGTGAACCAAAAAATTGCACTCCCCCGACACGTGCACATGTACTGCTAACGGAATTAAAAATAATATTAGCTGTTTCGATTGCAAATTATTATTATTTTTTTTTAATCCTCCATTAGTCATAATATTTTTCACCTTTGAACAGTTGCAATATGTCTCAGATACACTAATTTTCTCATTACTTTCCTCTTTCTTCGTAAAACAATTTTTTCTTTTATCAGCACTTAGCTAATAAACTAGGCATGAAAACAGTGGAAAATAAATCAACAAAGTAAGACGGTATCTATTAGATATTTTAACGCAAGATTAATTAACAAGTGAGTGTGCGTGTGTGTATTGTGAAATCTCGTTGATGACACTTCAAGCAGAATGAAATGAAGTTCTTCGGAAATACGGATAAAAATAATGAAGATTCCTTTCCCGGTTATCTTCACGCAAATTCTCAGTATCGTGTAACGAACACTTCCGGAATACTGTAATATTTACATTTTAATTCACACCGTGAAGCGTGTCCGCTGAAGAATTAGAGAAATCATGTCTAAATTCGCGACAATTAAAGTGAGGAAGCGCGCGACTTCCGCTACACCCGGTGTAATACGTGTCTGTATGCACTCACATGTCATGTTTAAAGCCTATCGATGCTGATCGATGCCACCACCTGCGTGCCGACAACGTCCTATACGATATACCGTTTTACCGAGACCGTTTTGCCCCCGGAAGTCGAAGAAAACCACCTTCGCCGAGCGATCGAGCTTATTTCCGCCTCGGAAAACGAAGACGCGGGAGAGAAGGAGAGTCGGACGAGAAGGAGGAGGAGGAGGAGGAAAAGGACGAAGAAGGAGGAGAAGAAGAAGAAGAAGAAGAGGAAGAAGAAGAGAAGGGTAAAACCTCCTCCTTCCCTCACACACACACACACATACACACACACCAAAAGGAGGAAGAGGGAGAGATAGGGAGAGAAAACGGATAAAGCACGAAAGGAACGGGTGAAGAATGACGAAGAAAGAGCACAAGCGTGGGCGGCAAGGAGGGAGCGACGCCGGCGGGGCCGCTGCGAGGTCGCCGGGCGGGGAGAGGGGAAGAAGAGGACAGAGGAGAGAGCGAGCAGAGGGAGAGAAGAGAAGAGATGAGGGCTGCAGACCGCGATTTAGCGGATTTTCAACATAGCTGCACCGTCGTCGCGGAGGGGTGTGCGCGATTCTTAACGCGGCGGAACCGCCCCCCGGTGGCGACGCGGCCAATGGCGCCGCGCAAACCAGTTACCCCTGATGCGCGAGCTCGCGAACGAGAGGGTTGCTCGCTCCTCTTCGCTCTCTCTCCCTTTCTCTCTCTCTATCCGTTTTTCACCCTCTCGCCGTGCGCCGTTCTCTCACCCTTCGCCGGAACGAGGCGACAACTCGCGGCAGTGCTCTCGCCATGTTCGCGCCGAGCGAGCAGCCCGTCCTGCGACAGTGAGGATCTCCGCTGGAGCCGCCAGTGGAGTCGCCGAGGAGAGTCGCGCGTCGTCGTCGTCATCGTCCTCTTCGTCCTCTGCGCGCAACCCCGGGACCGGTCAAGGTAGCGCCGTAGCGGGACCGACCGCCGCGGCCGCTTTCTCCCCATGGCGGGCCCGTACTTATCGCCTCTCGGGCCCCAGGCCGACCTGCTCACCGAGTACATGTTCGGTCGTCGTCGTCAGGTCAGTGTACGTTTCTCTTAATTCTGTATTCGTTCCCCGTCAGAGTTCTTACGAGCGACCGGGTGCTGATCGGCCCCGTCTCGGTCCCTCGCGCCGATCAGCCGTTTCTTTTTTCGGTTCCCCGAAGCAATTCCGTCGGCGTAACTGAATGTTTCGGGGACCAGACGCAAATTCGTTTGCGGAAACGGAAAGATTCCTGCAGGAGGTTTCCACTCAGCCAATTGTCTTCGGCTGTCTCGGCCGAATTCTAACGCAGCTTCGAACGTCCGACACGAATGTTCTCGGTCACAGAAACAGAGATACCACTTCTTCCCGTTCGGATTTTCATTTCTCATCACCGAGTTTTCACCTGGTCTCTATCCCGTCGCGAGAATCGAGTTCTTTCTTTCACGTGATAATGCTGGCGTTCAGCAGACAAAGCTTTTAATTTAGGTTTAGATACTTTCGTGTTCATCATTTTATTATTCTACAAAATATAATGAACAATAAAGGAAGAATGACGCTTTCCGTACGACAGTTTCCAAAACGAACTTAACCAAATGGCCTCAGTGGGCGCGTAGCGATTATTGATCCCAATTGACACATTCTCTAATTCTTTTTTTCCGTGCAGAGAACAATCACTAAGCGTTCATTGGGCTTTTTTCTCCGATGAACGCTGTTTTCAATTGATACTCCACTACTCGAATCGCGCGAGTATTCGAGTATTCATACGTGATCGCGGATGGTTTGCGCGACAAGGTCTGGGTGAAGTACACGCGGAAGTCGAGATCGGTGAAATAAAGCGCACTGGCGATTCCGGTGAATCGCGATCATGTGAAGTGTAACATATAGAAAAATATATATTTTATATACCTGCGAATATATCACAAGCATCAAATTTATTCAAAATATATTTCTGATATTCTTAGTAAATTTATTACCTCAATTAAGAATATTAAATCAAAATAAGTTTTGCTTATTCAAATTAACTGAATTTAACTTTTCTTTGATAATGTTTATAATATTCCTGAGAAGAGAGAGAATAAATTTTTCTCTTAAGTGTGTGATAACGAACTTTTTCCAAAATTTGTGATATTTATGTTAAAACTGTTATATATCAACAAAATATTATTTTTCGAGGATAATTATTACTTAAAAGAAGGAAAATAAATTGAGTAATCGCTTTTCTTAGCAGTAGAATGATCTTTTTTTTGTGTATGACGAGTAATGAGGCGCATAAAGAAACACTGAATATCCTGTTGAAATTTAATTGCAATTTATATCTTTTTTATCTTTATTCCCTAATTAACAATAGTCTTATATTGTTGTTTATTTGAGTAATACCCGATTGTTAAATACAAATCGTAATACTCGCGGGACTATTCTAAACAGAATTCTATCCAACGAGCTGAATATTTTTTGGAAATTTAATTGCAATTTAAATTTTTCCTGTTTATATACGTAAAGTAACATAATAAATCATCGTAGAATTTATCTAACAGATAATGACAAGTTCGCGTTATTAAATTACAGAGGAGATAACAATATACGATTCTCTGATATAATATCAAGGATCAAAGAGGATTTATATTTTCTTATTTTGTGAATATCTGCAAAGGAATATCGGCGTTAGCTTCGTGTACGAATCTTCGAGACGAATAAGAGAAATATCGTATTTCAGGTATACTCAAATTCACTCACATTTCGTTCAATTCCACTTCCACTTTGATTCTCTGGCACACACGCACACACACACATAAACGGACTAGAAATAATTATGGGATATATTATTTAATTCACGAGATATCTCCTTTTTCCCTCTGGCACATTTTTATGCGCAAAATGTGTGTGAACGTTAATGAAAAAAATATTACCGCGTTCCGACGTGACATATCAGGGCTGATACCATAATTGATAGCCGTCGAGTAATTTAACAGCCGTAGTTTATCGAGAATACGTAATAACGAGCGAGCGCTGAGCTTTGACGTTTCGTGGCGTGTGTAATAGTCGAATCCTTGTGACTTTTTCAAGCAGAGACGCAATCGGACGACGTTCACGCCGCAGCAACTTCAGGAACTGGAATCCCTCTTCCAGAAGACGCATTATCCCGACGTTTTCCTCAGAGAGGAAGTCGCGCTACGGATATCGCTCTCGGAAGCACGTGTACAGGTGAATCCACCATGCGATCACTTCGCTATCGCTGTTTTGCTTTTTTAGTATTTGTTCAGCTCCCGCATCTCAATTTTCCCTCTCTCGGAGATTTTTTTTCTTTTTTTTCAAATAATATAACATCGATTTGAAATGTCCCCAACGAAAACACGATCGAAGCGTCTCGTGCGAAAACAGTCGCAAAGCGGCCGATTAGAAAGATTATCAACTCTACGGTCCTACGTCGATTCGCACATTTGACATCACGATTTCATCCTGTTCGATTCTAACCTTTTTTTTTATTTATTAACAATATGCACGGAGAAAAATAATTTAAGGCTCCAACAAATTGTATGCTGTCGTGACAAATAAATAATAATATACGGGGTGTTTTCTTAATTTTTCCAAGACTTTGAAGACAAGTTTTTACTTGAAGCGGTGATTTTATTGTACTAAAAATTTTCTTTTGCACGATAAATCTTAAAACGATCAATGATATAGAATACGTGTATCATGCTTAGCATTTGAATCTGCAATCCTTTGTTCGCAAGTCTTTTCGCGAAATAAACGAGTAAATGAATAAATCTCCATTGATAGATTACAGATAGATTCCGTGGGTTAAGTATAAATATTTTTTGGTTGTACACGTAAGATATTTGTTTATTTTACCGAAAAATGTTGTTTAAGAAGCGTCGCGATCTCACGAATTTCAACTCAATGGATAATATTTAATCAAAGATCGTTTCGAGAAGAGCGATCTTGAAGGCGATCGGAGATACTCTTCAGTTTTCAGTATTTCGTAGTTTTGGGCAAATGTCGACATTCTTGATCTTTCCGCCGCTCGATGGGTAGGAAGACAACCCTTTTATCTGGGAAACTATTCGAGATAAAAGCCAATGGCCATGCCTTTGCCTGCCCGGCAACCAAAGGGCTAAGAAAACTTGCAACCTCAAAATCTACGAAATGCGAGCTCCCAACGGATTACCTCATTCCCTAAAACCGTTCACTAATTAAAGCCCGAATAAACTATTTACGGAAAACACGCGCGGTTCAGCTCCATTCGCTTTCCGAGCACGCTCGGAAGTTTGATTAACCAGCTAACGATCGTAATTTATTTCCGCGCTCTCCATTGGTCGCCGTTATTCCCGTTATTAGCGAGCGTATAAACATGTGAAACGCGTGTAAAATATTACAACGTTTATGAGACCGCGAATTAGAACACGAGTTTAAATGCGGGACAGCGTGAGGGATCGGATTAATAAATTCTTTTCTTATTTTGGAAATTTGAAGCGTAATTACGAAAGCGTCTTCGCAATCAGCGGCAGTTTGCAATCAGCTCAGATCGGAAAGAAAGACAGCGCGAAATTCAAAATCCTTCGCATTGTTCTCTTTTCTCATTAAAAAGAGAAAAAGAGAGATACACGCCACCTATTGTTCATTCTTTGTTGAAAAACAAACTTGACATTGAAGAACGAACTTTCGTTTGTTTGCTCAATTTCAAATTTAACAAATTTGCTTCAATCAAAGAGATTTCATTGAATCCAAAAAAATCTTTTTCTCTGTGATGTATAATCTGGACAAGATTATCACGGCGCGTTTCTGTTTCATGAATGTTTACATCTTCGTTTACATCATCCATCATCGACGGAGATTCAGATTCGAAAAGACACGGATTGTGATTCGAAGAAACGGTCTTTCAGTCACCCAATCAATCAACTGTTGTGACACGATGTACGGATTGTCCGGTCGATTAATTTCCTCGCCGGGTCGCAATCGAGGAAGTATCGGGGCGATGACGACTTTTCAATTAGGCCGGGTTGTCTCGCGCAGATGTCTCGATTCATTAATGATATTAGAACGCGAACAAAACTGGCCGACTCGATCGTATCACAAAGGCGCGTACATCTGGCTGCGATACGCGGCTGTTACGCGCGCGGACCATTGTGCGGAAACGATTAGGCGGGCAAGGCCGATGAAACGACAACGGGGCGATGCTGCCTTTGCGTAACGGGCGCGAGAAACTCGGAAGTTCGGCAAGCAAATCCGATTAATGCTTTCGAATCTCCTCAGCCGCGAGTCTCTCGTACAAAAGGGGCAAAAGGGGAGTGTAAACTATCTTAGCCGGGGCGTTTGATAATTGGCGGTACCGCCGGAACAGCGCGGATCCTTCGCGCGTTTGATAGATCTCGATGTCGGAGTGCGGCATAATTTAATTTCTTCGAATAGCGCTTAGGAGAATTTGTTAGAACGCGGTTTATATAATTGAAATGTCTCAATTAGTGACAAAGTAACCTCATCGTGAAAATAAATTAATATATAAATTAATCAATTGGTAATATACGTGTTAAATTAGATACGTAAAATTTATTTTGTTCGAAAGTTGGAACATTTTGGATTCTAATTATATTAGATGTTTTATTTAATTTATGATAAAATTTTAGCTAATTTATAATATGTTCTCGAAAGTAACGGAAGTACCATTTAGTGACACGTAATTGTGATTTTGTCTCGATTCGTGACACGTGTACACCTTTATTATCGCAATTGCATCTGCATCTGTAGTATCGAAGTATCGTGTAAAGGCAATGTTTTTACTATCACTTCGGATGAAAATACAGCCGACTTTCGCTTGTTTTGAGTGAGATTCCACTCCGCGAAATCGAGAATGTGCACTGAGAAAAAAGACTTAAGAATTTATTTGCAAAATATACGGCTTACTTCACAGCAATAAGCATTTATTTAAATACGGCGAAATAAAATTTTCCTCTTAGCAATTAATAAGAAAATTTCGTTTATATTTGACAAAAATACATGTCCCATCGTCGCGATGAAATTTTGTTCTAACCAATAAACATCGAAGGAGGAGTATCACAAGAAACATTTATTTCGCAAAATTTCAATCTCTTCTTCTCAGTGCGCCGTCCGCGTATTCGAGCATATCCCTTCACTCATTTGGTCATCGCTTTTTATCACTTTAAGTCTTACTTAGTAGTCGCTTAGACGTTCGCCATTTTTCCTCGCCCCCGAAGCGGTAGTGGTGGTCGAGGGGGCGGAATTACGGCAACGATCGGTCAGGTCAGCGGTTCCTCCGCAGGTATGGTTTCAAAACAGACGGGCAAAGTGGAGAAAGCAAGCTCGGTTACAATTGCTGCAGGACGCGTGGAGAATGCGATGCTTGGGTTTAGGGAGCGCCACTCCGCTGCTGCTCGGCCGGCCGCCCCCTGTCAGCCCCGGCGGCCTCGAGAGAACTGCCGTGGACGCCTCCTCGACCTCGCCGTCCTCCTCGTCGGGAGGGAACCTCGCGGGCTCGCCGACATCGAGCGACAAATTAACCGAGACCGGCGGTCCTATGCCGCCCGCGGTCTGCAGGGACTTCAGGATCCTGCCGCCGCCGCCGCCAGGGTGAGAGACGACTTATTATTTTTCAAACTATATTTTACAACCCACATGTATTTATTACAAAGGAAGGAAAAGGGGTGCTAGAATGAAGTAAATGTAATTATCTATTTTCCAGAGCCTTTTAGATTAAGTAATATTTTTATCAATTCAACTTTATTTTGCTCTGGATTTTATCGTATAAATACTTCCTTGAACGCAGTAATAATTTAATTTGTAAATGAATTACCAAATGTAAGTGTAAGGTGGTTCTAAATTTCAGAGGATATTTACTACAATTAATATTTCTTTTCCGTTGAAGAAACCTAGTGATTTTAAATTTTTTGATTTTTCTGTCCGGTAAATATTTTTTTAGAAATAAATTCTGATACATTCTCCATGTTACAAATTTAATACTTGTCGCAAATGTTTAATATGTACAAGTAAATGAATGCGTTCAGCAAATATCTGGATATCTGGAAAATATCTAATCCAAAACTATCGCTGGATTTGTAGATACTCGGTACCTTGTGACAAGTCGCCCGACCGGATGAAGTGCCGTTGCGCCACGCCGCCGAGGATCTGCGCGAGTCCTGTGGATCGGAGCGACGTCCTGGCGGCGAGGGAACGGCCGCAGGAGGCTGAGATGGACCTCACCCTGAAGGGACACCATCACGCCTCCACTAGGCATCCGCCGGTCACGACGCTCTTTCATCATCTCGGGTCGAGCAACCCTCAGCAGCAACAGGACGTCGCAGCGAGCATGGACGAGCCTCTGGACGTCACCCTCAACAGCAAGAACAACTGAGCTGCGAGCTGCTAGGTGATTTCACTCCGAACGACGAAGACGGTGCGCGATATCGGCCGTTACGCTCACGTTACGTCACAATCGTAGATAATTCCGATAACGCCCACGTCACGGAAAGATATCGTTACTTTGCATCAACGTAGAAAGGAAGATGTCGAGTATACTGAGTCGATCATTACGACGTGGATATCGCGATATCCACGTTCATATCGTTATATATATTTTATCTCGTTACACTTCTTGTATATTGAATGAGAATGCAATTTAGCGGTGCATTTAACGTATCGGGAATATCTAACGATACCGTCTTGTCATGCAGACGATTGTAACATCGAGCGGTGTGTGTTTAGTAATTACGCGTTGCGGATTGTAATGATGATTCAGAATGAAGTATTTTTAAAGCAATATTTTATAATGGCGGGCATATATACACACGCATACACACACACACACACACACATTTATTAGACACTAAATATCTTCCACAATAAGCGATCTGAAAGTACTCATTTTTTACATGCAGAATGGATATATCTACGAGTGATCGGTAATTCGTAAACAATCGTTAGAAATATAACATATTATTATTAAATTGAAATTATTTATTCGCAACTCATGCTATTTATAAATACTCTGGCGATTTAAAAAAATACACTTCTTCTAAAAATACTTCTAAATAATACACTTCTACGTGTAAAGCTAATAATACTTCAAAAAAATGTTTCAAATGCTTCTAGGAATGCTTTTAAAGATAAACCTGAATTAAAACCGATATTTCTATTTGGAGAGAAAATTAAAACCCGACAGCACTTTTTAGCCGGTCATTTCTTGATGCATTCTGTCATACAGAAATCTCGCGTTTAGAGAATGAAATTCAGGGAGAGATCCCGCGAAAACTTTGCATCCTCTATTGCGCGAATTGTGAGAAGACACTGAACGACTATTTCGAGATAAAAAAAGGAACGAGTGTTAATCTTTTTTCGATTATTATTAGCCGTTCCTATCATCACGATTGAAATCGAATCGACGATTAACTCGACGGAATTAATCAATCGCATTAGTTCGGCTAATTGGCCGATAGAATTGGTCGATTTCGTTTAATTAATCGTCAATTGGAATTAAATCGTGATTGTAGAAATAAGCATAAGTCAATTGTTAAATTTAACTTTAGTTTGAACTTTCTCTCTCTCTCTCTCTCTCTCTCTCTCTCTCTCGTATTAACGTGTGTACGCTTTTCAAATAACGTGCATACACACATACACATACACATATACAAAAGCTCTTTCAGCCCTTCAGGCAGAGGTATAATGTTACGAAATGCTACAAAGCATTCTTCAACTTTATTCGCCAAGTACATGTATCGTCTTCGTAGAGAAATTACCATTTATTATTAACGCTCTCCGTAGAAGAAAATGAATAAATAATATTTCTATGATAGAAGGGAAGGACTGAAAAAGGATACAGCGTTAAAAGTGCAAACGATTTTTATTTCAGTAGAGTCGTCTCATGATGAGCATTTTCGGAATTGTGAGATCGTAACGTCGACTAAAGGCTGCATTCCAATATTCATTGGTAGTTCCGAAAATTTATGGTTTATGTTACACATATTATAGATACTCAATACACCGTCAGTGAATATCGAAGGATGCAGGACCTGTAAAATTAAACTTCGCGGATTTGTAACTTGTCGTTGTTCACTCTCTCGATGCATAATTTTCATCTGTAAAAATTCCCGGAGGAGGAGGTAGACGAGCGTTTGCAAGAACGCGTTTCTGTACAATAAATAATAATGTAGCAGCTTCGATCGACAACGATCAATCGAGGAGATAGCTCTGTTAAGTGTCGGAACGCGTCTGAATTTTGGAGAGATTTACGATGTAAGATATCTGGTATGCGCGTATTTGTACGTACGATTATAAATATTATTTCAGGTGCATCCATACACCTCCCATTTTGCACCTGCGCATACGACATGACGACTGAAGAAGGTAGGAAGTGTACTCTCTGAATGAGACTCTTTCGTCAGTTGTTATGCTAGAGTTTTTGATAATAAACCTCGAAATGTTAATGCTCTGTAAATAGGTCTATAATTATAATTTATATATAAATGAATAAATATATATATATAAATATGGCAATTAAAATTTAGGATATATATTTGTTTTAGAAATAAATATTAATCGCAAAGCATGTCTCTTCTCACTTACGTCGATTATTTACAATTCCTTTCCCACATTTGGAAATAAATTACGTTACTCCATCTTATTTCTTCGTCGGATACAAAATTGTTGTATTTCTCTGCGTAAATCCTTCTCAGTTACTAGACAGAAATTAATAAACTGTCCAGTAACTAATCGAAAAATGAAATTTCTACCAGGGGGAAGAAAAATTGTTGTAAATATTTAAATGCTTCTACTTAAAAAACGTCTGTCAAATCGATGAATGTTTTGTAATATTTGTGTCGAAAATAGTCACTTCTTATTTATGTTTCTAAATAAGTGAAAAATGATAAAAGTGAGTCACTCCCATACCTGCATTAACCTGTTAACCGGGGAATTAATTTTTTTTGTTTGCGTTCAAAATATTACGGCAAATTTCCATGACGAAAAATGTCGTCATGCCCATTGCAGTAGTAGTTCGTGTATGAAATATTTCGTCATGCCTAGTTAACAGGTTAAGCACTGACTGAGCTATAGTCTCTGTTGAATATAGATGGCATCTACATGATGCTACGATGCTATGTATGTCCAATTTTTCGATGCACTTGGCATATTCGTTCCTTAGTATTTGAACCTGTCGGGTATTTAGCTATTGCGTGATATTAGATGCCATTTCAAACGATATCAACATTGCATATATTTGACTTATTTTATTAAAAACTTATTTTGCTACATCAGTAGTAAATATTATAATTGTTTTAGTAAATGTCTTTTATAAATGTAGTACGGTTAGAAATGTGTAAACGAGGGCAACGTGTATGTTATCAACCCGACATATGATTTGTTTTTCATGATTCTTGTTGCGTTATCGCGCAACATATACGTGTAAACGTGCAAACGTGATAGTGTGTGAACACAGATGAAGTCCTAAAAGATATCGTTCTTGCATTTCATCGTGACTCAGATAATAATTACGCACGTGAATCGTAGGAAATTCGTGCGACAAAGCATTGGTATATAATTGAAGCCAAGTACGAATCACTGACAATCAGTATCTGAGCCTTCGTAACTGAGTTCACGCTTAATGTTGGTACGGAAATACGGACGTATAATAGTGCAAGTTTTCAGGTAGGCTGTTTCCCTCTACTCGTTTGTGATTGTAACTCCTTGTAACTTGCGAAGCTTTATACGCAAATCATATTTTGATACATGAGTCGTAATAATATTTTGAAAAGAAAGAAATGTATCAAAATTACCTTTTTGAAAGCAAAGAAAGCAAATATCTAAAATATATGAACATTAAATTAAATTAAATAAATTTTGAAAGAAGCATGTTCGGTCGATGTCTTTTGCTTTGCAAGACAAGATTATGATGGAAATATTTTACTGAAAACATAATGAAAATTTATTTGAAAATCTCTCTTAACCGACCTTATTTCATTATCATTTCGTCAATATTTCAGTAAAAAATTACTTTAATAGATATCATTCCGTATCACGTATGAAGTATAATTTTCTCAATTTGAATTCTCTTCTTGAATATATGTGATCTGGAATCTGGTCACAGGATTCCTCGATATAGAGCAATTGAAAATTCATTTTCTCCTTTTATTATAATATTTTCATTTAAGATATTTTTATTTAAGAATATTGCTTATTTTCAGTAAAGTTCATTGTTGACACCAACAAAGCCGTGGGGCGAAGACTAGCACAAGATTATGGAAACTTTGGAAATACTATGCGGCATCATTGCCGTAATCCTTATTATCTATTACTATCTCACATCGACCTTCAACTTTTGGAAATCTCGTGGCATTGCTGGTCCAAAACCAATACCATTGTTTGGCAATGTGAAGGACGCAATGCTTGCCAGAAATGCTATAAACATTTTTGTGGCGGACGTATATAACAGCTACAAAGATGAGCCCCTAATCGGTATATTCATTAAAAGGAACCCTGTTCTTATCGTGAAAGATCCAGATATAATCAAGGACATTCTCATCAAAGATTTCCCCAAATTTGCTGACAGGGGAATATCCACTCACAAGGTACTTTTGTGACGTTGCTTCAGTTTATTTCACGAATTCGCTTTTTTTTCATCGAGTCAAATTACACGAGAAATTTAACGGTAGGATATTAGACACACAATGGGGTCGTCCAGGGTAAGCAAGAACTAACAGTAACGCTACAATAATGTTATAATTTCTCATTCAACAATGCAACTGTTACACAGGCTTTACCAAAAATGGGGAGACAGAATGGAATATCTTGGAAACAGAACAATCGACAAAAAATATAACGAAATTAAAGTCACCGACTTATGTCCCCCTCCAAACCTTACAATTTTTATCTGAGCGATTTTTCTGTTTAGTGGGTAACATAACATTGTCGTAATGTTACTGTCAGTTAGTGTCAATTAGGTAGGAATTATTAACAAACTGTGAGTTCAACGAATCGGCGATTTCAAACGAAAGACTTCTATAATCTATAGTATGTGTGTGGCGCTCGATCGGAATATAAAGTGAGAAATTTGATTTAGAATGATTCGCTGTCGCAACATCTAGTCGCCTTGGAGCCAAAAAGATGGAGACCGTTAAGGACAAAGTTATCGCCTGTTTTTACAGCTGGGAAATTGAAAGATATGTTCCCTCTGATGTTAGAATGCTCCGAACACCTGGAAGCATACGTGGGCCAATTGGTGAATAGAAACGAGCCCATAGAGTGTCGTGAGCTAACGGCCAAATATACAACTGATGTCATCGGTAGCTGCGCCTTCGGTATCGATATGAATTCTATATCGGACGTGGACAGCGAATTTCGCAAAATGGGACGAGAGATATTTATTCCGAGATGGTACAAATTAATACGTTTCGCAATAAGAGAAGGCGAGCCATGGCTTTACAATATTCTCAGTTATGTCCTACCGGAAACGGAGACCAACAAATTCTTCATGCGCATTCTCATGGAAAATATCGACTATCGGGAAAAGAATAATATCGTTCGACACGATTTCGTCGATACGCTACGCGAATTAAAAAAGAATCAGGACAAAATCGATATTGGTGAGTATATCTATTCCATATTATCAGACCATCCATGAAATCAAATATATAATAAAATTATACAATATAATATTATATATAATATTTAATATGTAATACTATAATATTGAATGAAATATCTTGGTATTAATAATATATATAATATTATATAATATAATAAAAAATATTACAATATGAAAGAGAGAATTCTTTTTGATGTAAAAACTGAAGTAAATTGGAGTGAGAAATAATTTCACAAATCGCGCAATAACATTCTACTTATGGTATCTCAGAAGCAACAGATTAACCATTAATCAATATTAAACTAATATTATATAATTTCTTGCTCTACAATCCTCAAATATAATATGATATATGTTCTATATATAACAGTTACATTTGTTCAGTGGGAAATTATACATAATATTATCTATAACATTGATGTAGTAACTGGTTATTCAACGTTTGAAATGGAATCGGAAGTTTCGTTTCAGTTGCATATGATTATTTGTGTTTCTCAGTTTATGTTAATTGTTCAAACGACCAGTCGATGTACTAGTCAAATTGTTTATAAAATTCGGTTTACAAGAAAAAGAGGGTGCTGCATTTCAGAACTGACCGATAGTGTGATCGCTTCTCAAGCGTTCGTATTTTTCCTCGCCGGTTTTGAAACTTCATCGGCCACCATGAGCCATGCACTTTATGAGTTGGCGCAAAATCATACGATACAGGACAAACTACGAGAAGAAATTAACCACGAGTACGCAAAGAATGGTGATTCTTTATCATACGACAACATCAAAGGGATGCCTTATTTGGATAAGGTTTTCAAAGGTACGTTTCTTTCCCGATGCAGATTAGAGAATCGCTGTATACATAAATATATTGTTATTTTTCTCAACGGTACACAGTCTTGAGTTTAAAATAAATTAGTTTTACTTCATATAAATGCGCCATCATAATCATTATCTGATGATTGGTGTTATCGATACAGAAACGTTACGAAAATACCCGCCAGGGCAGGTTCTAAGGAGGAAATCGACTTCGGATTATACCTTGAACGGCACTGAAATTAATTTACCGAAAGGCCAAGTTATATTTATACCAGTTTTTGCAATTCACCGAGATCCTAATATATATCCGGATCCGGATGTTTTCGATCCGGAGAGATTTAACGAGGAAGTTATGCAAACTAGGAATCCGATATTGTATCTTCCCTTTGGCGACGGTCCAAGAAATTGCATTGGTACTATGAATATATATTCTTGATGTGTTTTGTACTACGTACGTAAGTTTAGAATGGCTTGTGCTTAATAGTTGCCAATTTCTCCTAGGTGCTCGCTTTGCTATTTGCCAGACCAAAATTGGACTCATAAAGATGCTGCGGAACTATAAGATTGACGTTTGCGAGAAAACGCAAATACCTTATGAAATTGATCCCAAAGCGTTTCTACTGGCACCAAAGAATGGAATATACTTGAAAATGACCAAAATCAATGTAGCATAATGTATGAATTTGAATTCCGCAAGTATACATTAAGGAAGAAGAGGAAAAAGTGAACACTACTGTGGCTTAAAATAACTAATTCGATATATATAATTGTAATATTATTACAAATATATATGTACATGTATGGATGTACATATGTATGTATGTATGTATGCATGTGTGTGTGCGTGTGTATGTATGTGTCATGTTTCACTACGCAATTTTTTAAATTTGCATAACGAGATTAGTACATATTATATAAAACATGTATAATAAAGAAAAATGTCATTGTTGTATTAAGACAAGAAGGTGACACTATGACCCTTGCAAATATTATGGCCTCTCTTAGGTTGCGTTCGGAAACTTCACTCGTGGTGTACTTTTGTGACTTGAATGACTGAAGTCACAAAAGCACATCAAAGAGTGATGTTTCCGAATGCAACCTGGACGTTTCAGAACAACTGGTGTCTAGTAGTCTGCATGCTGTCTATGTTTCCGAATGCAATTTCAGCGTTTTCGAACGGCTAGTGTCTAGTGGTGCGCATACAATGTGTGTTTCCGAACGCAACATGTGCCAGCCAATCGCGGACTAGTGGTCGTATAACCCCGTTGGCACTTCTTTCTCATAGGCCGATATTCACAGTCAGGTCTAATATTTGAGACAGCCTTAAGTTTCTCTTCAAATTCTATACGGCTTATTTCATTGGCTGCGAAGCATTTGAAGATTAATTTAAGATAGTCTTAAATATTAAATTTAACTATGAATACCGGCCTTAGACGATCATTACTGCGATCCATACCAAAACATTCGCAATTGACAGCAATATACTCGCAGTGAATAATGGAACGCATCCTTGATTTCGATGGTGGACAGACAGCTGATTCTTCCGGCTGCTGAAGATCGCTGGTGTTTCTTTTGACGGGATGAGATTTTCTGTACAATTATGATAATCACTTGTAATTAAAAACGTAAGATTTTGTCTCTCGGCCTCAAAGAATTAAGCGTCAAGCATGAATTTTACAGTCAGAAAGATTTACGAGAGTTTGAGAAGTACGAAGTGTGTGCTCGACAGGAGAGCACACGTCTTACCTTTCGGCGGTGTGAATACTCAAGCCAGATATAAAAGCATCGCAACGAGACCTAAAGTTATAATAAAGAATAAATACGAACAGCACGACTCGGACAGTGGATTGTATGGATATAGCTTGTTGGCAAGTAATGCTACAAACAAATACAATTACTTGCTAATTGTCGTATGAAATTTTGTACATATCACAGTAACAAGTCTGTTATAGTGCAAATCAGGATACGTTAAACTTCCTTGTCTTAACAACAATTTCACACGATATGTTTCCACGTTTTTAAATTAAAAGGCAGCCTCTTTTAACTCTGCCAACAGTGCGAGTTTATTCCTATGTATTACAATTTTTTCAATGCAGGCTATACCCATCATTTGTTTTGGACTTGGCACATGGCAAATCAATAGGCGGCGATGGAAGTTGAATCTAATACACGATTTAGAGCGACGTACTACAATGGAGCCTATCGATCTTCCACTAGAGTAAAATCATAATATCAATTCTAAAATATGAATATGAATTTACAAGAATTTTGTAATTTATCACGTGCTTTATAATTATAATTTAATATGAATCTATTCTTTCAGCCTGGATGAACTCAACGACAAGGAATACTATTGTGTAAAGGTGAGGGGCAAGTTTATATATGAGAGGGAATTCCTGATAGGGCCCAGAAGCCTCATCGTGAAAGGACAAGCGTTGAGTGAGAAAGGCGGTGGTATATTCTCTGGCAGATCGAGCACAGGATTTTATGTGGTCACGCCTTTCAAGCTAGAGGATCGCGAGTAATTGCTTCTTGCTTTCTTTTCTTCTAGTAGCTGATTCATGAAGAGAGAACGTAATAGTTATATTATTCCGATATTGCCTAATAAATATATTGTAATTTACACCGTCACTGATCATTTCAGCATAACCATCATGGTGAATCGTGGATGGATTCCTAAAAATGCTCGCTTAACGTACAAGCAGGAGAAAAATATTACAGACTCGATGGAAATCGTCGGCATTGTTAGACTGGGTGAAACACGACCGCCATTTATACCTTCCAATTCTCCTTCGAGCGGAGTCTGGCATTATAGGTAAAGAATCTAATATCGAAGAATCTACTGATATTATATATATATATCAGAGATGCAAAAAGAATTATAGCATGATCATGACAGTATATAACATTTTGAGGATCGCCTCTATGTTATCGACACTTCTCAAGTTCGTTGATCGACTTTGGCATCTCCTCAAGTTATGTAACAATAATAGACGTTGTTAATAATAATTATAAAAAATGCACATTTTTGCACATGTTTCAGAGATTTAAATGCGTTGGCCAAGGTGGCAGAATCGGAGCCCGTGTATATAGATTTATTGATTGGTTACGGCACGCCCAAAGGTCCGATCGGCGGCCAGACGAAGGTGGTTTTAAGGAACGAGCATTTAAGTTACATAATTACTTGGTACGGACTGTCCATCAGCACTGCGTATATTTGGTACCGGTATTTTATACAAAAATTGCCTGTCATGTAGTTTTATTTGTATAGAGACTGATGTGTGCGTTTCTCTAAAATACATACTAAATTATAAAAATTGTTGAAATATAGTTGTAGATACTCTTGTAGTTTGCGTCGTGTACATCTCGTAGCAGAATTAGACAGGGTGTCCTAGGAGCACTGTATGTTCTTAAACATGACAGTTCCTTCGGGATATTCTGAGACGAAAGTTCAAATGTGAAAATGGCTGCGATATCATTTTGAAATCGTACGCGACTAAAGTTGCCTAATCGTACGGCTGACGTTTCCTGCGCTCAAGTAGGACGATGTGGCGACGGTGATACGGTTTATACCATGAAACGGAAACGACTTTCTCAAAAAATCTGTACAAGCATGCAATGCGGCACGACCGCGTGGGTGACTCGGTGCGGGCGAACAGTCTGAGTTCGCGCTAAGCGAACGGGTGCAAAACTGGAGAAGAACATGCGTAGCTCGTAACATACTTTATTTCACAAACATAACAAGTGCGAGTGTGTATCTCCGTTTCGCAGAAGTGTCGTCTAATTGCCCCCACGGTGGGAAGAAACGCTCACCGGTATTCCCTTTCGCTGACGTTAACAACAACAACGACGTCGACGATGATAATGACGACGAATCGACAGTGTTCTTCGCGAAACGCCGCCGACGGTGGTCATGGTGTATACACAATTCACTTCAACGAAGCGTTCAGCATAAAAAATACCTTTATACAAATATGAAAATATACAATATACAAGTTACATCGATCTCGTGTATATCCGTATACGCGCTACAATATAATAATAATAATAATAATAATAATAACTATAATATAAAGTTAATAATAACAATGACGAATCTCCGATGATGATAAATCTAATAATATAATAACGATATATATATATATATAATTTATAATGACAGTATAAAATCCGACAATCATAATGACAATGTTTAATGAAAGAGAACAACGATATAGTCACATTTACATAATAACGAACACATAACTCGCTCGCTTCGCTACTTCGCTCGGAGCCGCATCGAGATGCGGGCGCTCGCGAAGCTTCTCCGTGAGGTTCACCTCTGCCGCCAAAGCCGCATCTCGTCGTCGAAAATCGAAATTACATACAACGTAAGGTCTTTTTTTACACTAAATGTACAAACTGGCGCCTCGATCGATCGAGCAGGAAATCAAACGACGATCCTCTCGTCGAAAGCGCTCGCGCGGGATTGTATGCTCGAAGAGTCGCGTTTTTGTATAATTTACAGCTTTTATACAAGTTTCATTTATTTACGACAGGCAGTTGAGATATCTTGTTGGGTGTGTTGATCCTTTAATATTAAATTACAAGTAGTTACAGGCTATACCCTCTCATGTTTACAATTGTACAACGTGAAAATTCAAAGTCACTTTCTTGGTTTATATATAACGGTGTCTAAAAACTACTTAAATACGTGATTCTCTCTCTCTCTCTCTCTCTCTCTCTCTCTGTCTCGATCAATCTCATTTCGCCGTTGTTTCGTTGCGTCTTGGGGAATCCTCGCCGGGAACTCGCATGAGATTTCAATGCAATCAACGTTCTCGCTCGGTTAGTGTACGTTTCGTCCAATTCCGGCGGAATTTCGGTGCGACATTATCGCGATTTTGCAAGGCAGAACGTATTCGTATACTTTATTGTCGCGATATCTCGACGTGATATTCGTACGTAATAAATAAACGCATCGGAACATGCATCGGCACGGGCATCGAGCTCTTTCGCACGTGTGAAATGCGTCCTGCGAGAGGTGGATAGAAAAACGCCCTTGTATACCTATTCTTTTTTTCTTTTCATTGATACATCAAATGTCCCGGGGAAGAAGGTGCAGACCGGCAGAATCGGGCTCCTCTCAGCGAAAATTTCACCTGAGACGACACACCGTCTCTCATCACCGCCTTGCAACTCAACTTGATTCATCCTCGCATTGCACAGTCGCTAAGTCGAGCCTGCGTCGATCGACGAGTCAATATACCAGAAACAAAAAGGAGAAATAAACTTCGACTTCGTAATTTCGTCGTGCATATACAATAATTTAATCAACTCTTACAATTACGGTACTTTTAAGCCTAATTTCAAGAAGCCTCCGCTATACGATGTATTTACAGGTTCCGGATATAATAAAACATCTCTCTCTTCCTCTCTCTCTTTCTATCTTTCTCTTTCTCTCTCTCACACATATCCTTCTCGAAGTGTAACAAGGTAGTACGCATAGCGGTGTCGAGGCTCCGTGTTAAATTTAATAAATCTGAGAGAATAATGGAAAGATAAAATCTCTTTATTTTTAATCAACTGTGGTCATAGTATTTACGCATATATATATATATATATATATATATATATATATATACGTGTGTGTATATATGTATGTATAGTTCTCTAAAATCTTTTACGTTGATCGCGCCTCCGACAAAATTCTCGCTTTGGCAACGGTCGGCACACCTTTCTTCGGAGACACCGATTGTACATTTTGTATATACGCGATTCCGTAAAACTAATCTCGTTCTTAATAAAGTTACGGAATACGAAATAATAATAAACTCTCTCTCTCCCTCCTCACTCCCGTTCCCGTCTGCCGTTTAACCGTATTAATTGCGCTAATTCGCTAGATATTTGCTAAATATACTGCTTCGTGCGACGTCCTCCTCTCGTCGCGTGCGCGCAGACGAGTCGAAGGCAGGACGCGAATCGACCGTCTCTCTCTCTCTCTCTCTCTATCTTTCGCTACGCGCTCCAACCGATCTCTCTCGCGCCCTTATTGATCCCACGTGCGCATCAATAAAGATAGGTAGTAGTAGTAGTAGTTACACTTTCTTTCGCATTGTACTATATTAGCGATTAGTCGACCTGTAATTTCACTATGTCCGTGACCGCTTAAAGCCGAGGCTCGTCGCTCCCACGCGGTCTGTCTGCATGGCCCGGTGGCCCCGTCGATGATGATTGAAACCCCCGCGCGTCGCTTGACGAAATTGAAACGAAGAACGAGAGCGTTAACTGGCCCCGGCGTAAGCCGTCGTTCTTCGTTTGGCGAGTAAAAGTGTGTCGGCGTCCTCTCTCTCTCTCTCTCTCATCGAACTATCAACCTACCGTCATAATATCACTATCGTAGTTCGTCACCCGCCTGGTAAAAACGTGCGTTCATTAGCTGAACTTCTGGGCGCCTTCGTAACCACATCTTTCCAATTATACAATAATTTAAACTGACATACATATGTAAATATATATACAGAGGGTGTCACGGTTCTCGTAATATTCATTTTCGCGAGAGATTCTTCGGGCGATTTAAAAAGTTAATTTTGCCCGAACGGGAATGTCGAGGCATCAACAGTTTCCGAGATACAAACGATTGAAAAAGCTCCGCTTTTTCTTTTGCGAGCCAAGCTTCGGGCGATCAAATGGACGAGGAAATTATTTTCTCCGACTAACTTCAAGCGAACTTTAATGTGACTGAGAATTTGAGTTCGTTGGCTACAAAGATACACCGTGTTGAAGAACGGAAAGTTAATAAATAATAACCTCCGACTACGAAATAATTACCTCGCTGAGGAAGAATTAACTCCCGATTGCTCGCGCAACCTCTCAGTAAAATTACGGTCGTGATGACCGGGAAACCCTAACGTATGCATACATACGTACATATATATACACATGTATACGCATATATGCATGTATATTCTTTAATAATTATAACTGTAATTACTTTCAATTGTACTAAATATTTGCAACCGTACAATAGAATTGCAAGATTCTATTATTCTTCTTTTCAAAATCCCATTCTATTCTCGAATTATCCCCCGCGTCTTGCCACCCGTACTTACCGCCATACAGACGTAATCGTTCGCCCACAGGTATTTATATCGAACGCGGTATTCACGTCAAAAGAATAAAACTCGGGGAATCGGGAATTGTTACCTCATTCAGCGGACCAAGCTTCGGGCGACCAAATTGTTAAACGCGATACTAAAAGGGGGGCCTCCGCGATCGACGAAGATCCCTGCGATCTTCGCGTCATCAGGCGAAATGAAGTTTTAACGAGTCGAACTTAGCGTTAAGCGCGCCATCGAATGGGTCTGCTTGCGGACTCGCGATTCTCACGAGGAGAAGCTGCGACTGAAATTTAATCGATCGTCAAACAGCCGCTCGTCACATTTTTCACGCTCGCGCTTGTATTTACGACGAGGCTGGCTTAGCGATAGATGCACATTACACTGAGAAGAAAGCAGTGGGATCAGAGACCTTACTTGGGCGGCCGAGTTTTCACGAGGAAGCGTTTAATTCGATCGGACCAAACTGATGATACGATTGCTGCGTGCCAGCTATCGACGGATACGATTATCCCGACTCAGCCGGTAACTGTAAATTTTTGCTTTTGTCACGCAAATCGCGCCGATTTGCTACACTTCCGCCGGAATTGCTTAAACTCGTTCAGAGGACGCGATAATTTTGCCGACCACTCTTCATCCTCAGTGTAACTCTCGGCAGCACACGTCGGGCGCCGCCTCCTGGCCTCGGCGAATCTCCGTCACTCGAAGCCGAGTGACTCGTCCGGAGAAGCTGCTGGAATCGGTAGCGCGAAAGCTCGCCAGCTTCCTCAAGCAGATCCACCGCTGCTTGTCATTCACCACCGGTCCCGAATATATCGCGATAGGTTAATCCTACAGTTCTACAGTTAATTGTACGCTCTCCAGGTGTGTGCGGGTGTGCGTGTCGATTTCTGTGTGTATATATATGTTTCTGTATGTATGGGTGTGTGTTTGCCCCTAGCGATGCGGCCGCGGCTTTATTATTCGTTGAGCATGCAGGTGCGGACCAAGGCGTCGCAGACGGAGTAAGGATCGCAGTTGCTGCTGGGCCTCCTGTCCTCCAGATAGCCCTTCTTGTCCTCGGCCACGCCGCGCGGTATGCGGATGCTGACGTTGCGATTGGCCACGCCGGCGCTGAAGTCATGGATGTTGCTGGTCTCGCACTTGCCGGTCAGCCTGCGCTCGTTGTCCTTCCCTCCGCGCGGGTCGTACGCCTGGATGTGCCTGAGGTGCTGCTTGCTGAGCTTGTCGATCGCCTTCTCGATCTCGGCGATGCCGTTTTCCGCGCGCATCGCCTTCGTCGAGAAGTTCGTGTGGGCGCCGGCGCCGTTCCACGAGCCATCCACCGGTTTCGGGTCCAAGGTCACGATCACGCCGTACTCCTCGGCGACGCGGTGCAGGATGAATCGAGCGATCCACAGGTCGTCGCTGGCGCTGATGCCCAAGCACGGTCCCACCTGGATCCGTAAATGGAAAGATGCCGTAATTACTCACCGTGGGACGGGAAGCATTCGCTTCCCCTGATATTTATACGGATTCAAATGTTCGCGAAAAGTTAGGGGCAAATTGACGGTAAAACGCGGCTCCAACCCGGCCAGCGAAAGCTGGCATTCTTCTTTTTTCCGCGAGAAAGGTGTATTACCGCGCGCAGATTATCCCGTTTCCGGTGGATTTCGAATCGAGCAAATCACGGGTATGCAAAGTCGCGGAAAATTACATTTCTGTTGAAATAACGCCTCTCCCGAACTGGATTTCCGGCGAAGCTCTCTCGCGTTTCGTTTAACTATCAATTAAACGAGATCCGGGGGTCTTCGCGTGGCGTCTCGCCCGGCGTCACGGAGGACGACGCCGATCGCTCACCTGGAACTCCCACTGCGAGGGCATCACCTCGGCGTTGGTGCCGGAGATCTTCACGCCGGCGTAGAGACAGGCTCTGTAGTGAGCCTCGACGATCTCGCGTCCGATCACCTTGTCGGCACCGACGCCGCAGTAGTAGGGGCCCTGAGGCCCCGGGAAACCGTTCTTCGGCCAGCCGAGCGGCCTGCCGTCGAAGTCCAGCAAAGTGTACTCCTGCTCGATGCCGAACCAGGGGTCCTGATCTTTTACGGTCTCCATCGCTTGGTTCGCGCGATAACGTTTGTTCGTCTTCGTCGGAGTCTTGTCGCTGCTGTAGGTGTCGCAGAGCACGAGCTTGTTGTTACCACAGCGGAACGGGTCGTTGTAGATCGCCACCGGGTACAGGAATATGTCGCTGTTGGCGCCGTCGGCCTGGTACGTCGAGCTGCCGTCGTACGTCCACGTCGGCAGGTCTGCGGGAGACGATCGGGGAACACGTTAATTTTTCGTTCAGGTCCTTGCAAAATCAGTCTCGACGAATTCGTTGGAACTAACTTGCATTTTATACGAGACTTAAATATGACCCGGTTTTGATCTTTATTAGCGCAATTAGAAGACGACTGACCACTCGGGAGCAGAGACATCCGCTAAAAATGACGCTTTTTACACGTATTCTCCGAAGTGAATATATTTGTATTTATATTTAAATGGGAGGAAGAAAACAAATACGATATTTTTTCCGAACTATTCCGATTACGAGTATCTCGACGATCGTAGCCGTTAATCTATAAGATTCAAGTTGAAATTCGCTCGTGGGCAGCTCTGAATTTTTCGCTGCGTTCTCTCAGGAAGTGCGATCCGCGTTAATGGAGAGATGAATATTTAGCGCAATTAGCAGGAACGATCCACGAGCCCCGATCCAATTCCCGAGGCATGTATCGCCATCGGGTAGATAATGCCGTCACTTGTCGAGGCGATGGGTATTTGCGCCATATTTCGGGATAGTGTGCCGCGAGAAATTTATTCCAATTACTCAAGTTGTTGACTACGAACGGAGTTCACTGCTCCCGTACCCGAAGCTTCCATCTTCTGGTAGCGTATTGCGAGATTAGATAACATTTGTTTCATTGACGCGAGCGCCGAGCGAGAGATAAACAACTTTTCGCAACTTTTAACACGTGGCCGCGGGAATGGGCCGTTTGGAATATTCGCAGTCGTTTCGTCATCGTTTTATTAGCGATGCGCATAAGTTAAGGCTCGCCCTGGGGGAGGGAGAGACGTTCCCTGAGGGAAATCGGAATCGAAAGCGGACTCTCTCATGGCTGAACGAAAATGCGGTACATATAAATTCGAGTGAATTCCCGCCTCGGTTATTTTTATATACTCGGAGGATGCGACTGTTACTTTGGATGGGAAAAGTGAAATGTCACGTTCCGACGAATAATCCGACGACGATTCCATTAGGGAATTATCGGCGAATTAGACAGACGTCGTCGGCCGTGAACTCGGCGGAATTGCGAATTAATTCGCAGACATTACATAAACCAGGGACGGAATAGCGATATTATTTCGTTAGTAATATTTTAACGGTATTGTGTACGTCGATATTTTAAAATACCGTATACGGTGTTTTAAATATGTTGGTAATACGGTATTGTAAAAATGTTGGTATAATACCGGTATTGAATGTTCAAATCCGCTATCGTATCGAAATTCTACATAATATCGGTATAATACCAGTATTTATAGATTTCAATACGATATCGGTGTGATATCGGTACTGTGTCGTATACTGTATCACATTATTGAATGTAAATATCGTCAAGTCAATTAGATTCATAATATAATCACAATCAATATGTGTTTTACAAAAGAACGAAAATAGAAAGTAAATAACTGTGTAAATTCGGAGCATCTCGGATGATATTAATGTAATACCGATATCGTACCGAAATCCATAAATATCAGTATTATACAAAATTTTAGTATGAATAAAATTTTAGATTAAGGATCGATATAAATCGCGTGTGACCAATCGACCAGCACGGGTCGTTCGCGCTTACCGGAAGGATGTTTCGGCACGAAGTCCAAAGTCCTGGTCTTGCAGCGTAGTCCTTCGCCGGTACCGTCGATCCAGATGTACTTCGCCTGGATCGCATTGTCGGGTTGCGGCAGGTCGAGGTACTTCTTCAGCAGGGTTTTGTTTAACGCCGCGTTCGGCGAATCCTTCAACATGGTGCGCGACATTGTGGTGGTGCTGCAACAGGAAAGGCAAGAAAAGACGATTAGTCATCGGTCGGGAGGATTTCCCAGCCGAGGCGGTGATGTAAGTAAAACTCCCAGGGTCCGCTACGTTTTTCCATGGAAGAGAAAGAGAGAACTTCATTTATTATGCGCTCTCTCTGAGATATCGTTCCCTTAAAACGTAATTACACGAAAGAACTGTGCAGGAAAATAATATGACGTATTATTACAAAGCTGACGGTGTAACTTATTTCGGAAATTACTTACCAGGTGTACCGGTATGAAGTGAGCGTCAAAATACAAATGTCTCGATAGGGAACATTTATTTTGAACGGGCCTTAATTTTGTTTTGTTTGGTTTCTATGACATCTATCAAACATATTCAGTTTACATCAAGTTATTGAACAAACAACATCATATTTTTTCATCGTGTTAAAAATGTCGAATTTTGTACCAGAAAATGATGATTTGCGGAAAGCATTAATTTTTTGTTTTCATTTGAAGAAAAGTGCTGCAGAGTCGCATCAAATGCTTGTCGAGGCATATGGTGATCATGCTCTATCAGAAGCAACATGCAAAAGATGGTTTCAACGGTTCAGAGATAATGATTTTGATGTGAGAAATAAAGAACGTGGAAAACCACCAAAAAAGTTTGAAGACACCGAATTGCAAACAATATTGGATGAAGATGACACTTTGAGTCAGACACAAATGGCAGAAATGTTAAATGTTGCACAACAAACAATTTCTGACCGTTTAAAAGCTATGGGAAAGATCCAAAAGTCTGGAAAATGGGTGCCACATGAATTGAATGAAAGACAGATGGAAAACCGAAGAAACACTTGTGAAATTTTGCTTCAAAGACACGATAGAAAATCAGTTTTGCATCGAATTGTTACTGGCGATGAAAAATGGATTTATTTTAAGAATCCTAAACGGAAAAGATCATGGGTTAATCCGGGACAACCATCAACTTCGACTGCAAAACCAGATCGATTCGGCAAGAAGACAATGCTGTGTGTCTGGTGGGACCAGAAAGGTGTGGTGTACCACGAGCTCCTAAAACCTGGTGAAACCGTCAATACAGATCGCTACCGACAACAAATGAGCAATTTGAACTATGCATTGATCGAAAAACGACCAGAATGGGCCAGAAGACACGGCAAGGTAATTTTGCTCCATGACAATGCACCTGCACACAAAGCAAAACTGGTTCAGGATACGAGCAAAGTACTCGGCTGGGAGCTGCTACCCCACCCGCCGTATTCACCAGACTTGGCTCCTTCCGACTACCATTTGTTTTCATCGATGGGACACGCATTGGCTGAGCAGCACTTCGATTCCTACGAGGAAGTCGAAAATTGGGTGACTAATTGGTTTGCTTCAAAAGACGAACAGTTTTATTGGCGTGGAATCCACAAATTGCCTGAAAGATGGGAAAAATGTGTAACTAGCAATGGCCAATACTTTGAATAAAATGTTTTTTACTTTCCCATTAAAAAATAGTGTTTTGATTTCACGAAAAAACGCTCACTTCATACCGGTACACCTAGTATACGTATCTCTTAGAATTGCATCGGATAACGCGTCTAGTTAACATCACGATAGTAACATTATTCAAGTGATCAGCTTCGATGGATACATTGCAGATATTCTTCAGTTGGCCACAATGCAAATCACAATATAAGAGAAAGATATATGTGTATTTTATGAAACACTTCGCATCGTGACGTGTTGAAATTCAAAGTCTCATTTTTTGTCGGCTAAACGTCTCGCAATTCACATTGTTCGTCCCGCTGTGCGCCGGCGCAACCGCAGCCGCCTCTCGAGGACGCTCAAGCGACGCGCGTGCCGCATCCACGATGCAACGCGGCACATACGGAACACACGAGAGCTTTCGTTGTGGTGGTGCCCGCCCGCGGAAAGATAGGTGCGCCCACACGGGGCTTCACGCGCGGAGCACGCGAGCCATGCGTGCTGGAGCGTTGGCATGGCCATTGGCGCCGGCGAAAGAGATTTTCCCCGGAATCGTGCACTGAAAAGCTCACGAAACAGAGAGAGAAACCGGCAACGAGCGACGAGCTTCGCGGGAAGCGAGCGGCGCGCGCGATGACTCGCCCGGTGACATCGCGCACGCTCATTGCAAATCTAAATTTACAACCGTTCCCGCGTAGAAGAATGAGGGAGGAGACTTTCCTGGAAAATAGACTTTCCTCCGCTGTGGAGAGAGTTTTCTATATTGTTTTGGAAAAAACCATTTAAAAAATCGATGTCTTTCGCGAATTTTTACCGTTTTTTTCTCCAAGGGTGGAAACATTCGTTTCGAAAAATTCACGTGTGTTCGGTTGAAACCTGCCGCATTTACTTCTTTTCATAAAGAAGATAATTACTTGCATTTAACCGAAGCAAAATGAAGTTAATATGTTATATGTTAGGTAATGATATATGTGATATAAAATGATATATTACCTTCAAACAATCTAGATAGCCAAATAACGTTGGAGAACGACACATTGACGGCAATATGACGTCTATACCGTCAATATGTCGTCCTTTGGTTATTGGGAAATTATAACCGAAAAAATCAGAGGAAAAATGGAAAAACTCGGTTTCAAAACTATAGAGTTTTCGCGTTGTGAGAAATAAAACGCGGTTGAAAAACGCGCAATCGAAGCTTTAATCTCCTTCTGCAGCAAGAAGAGCTTTCATCGGGTGCGTGTGCGTTTGTCGAACTTGTTAATATTTTTACAGTGCCTGGTATCTTATCGTTATATTGTTTATCTTTATAGTATCCTTCATAAAAAGATTTGACGAAATATAAAAACTGGACTTTTTTTCATTTCGCTTCTTTCGCAAGGAATGATTTATCGCTCTATTAGAAAATTAAACTTCACTGGAATGCGTAACTGTATGCTTATGAGGCTCTTTTTAACACTTTAGAGGCCGCCTAGAGGCCTGTTTATAGGCTCTTTAAAAATCATGAGTGTGAAATCAGAGGTAGATATCTAAAATCAATCTGTGCAATTTATAGAATGTCGACACTTCTAGCGGTGGTGCCGGTTAAAAAGGTTACAAGATTCAGTATCGTATTTTCAGTGGCGCATCAAGGAGACCACTCATAAATTTGATATTTATCAAGCAAAATTATGTTTTTATATTTTTATCTCACTATCTGAATAATAATTAATTTGAAACCAAGTTGAGATAAACATATATACATAATATTATAAATACGAAAATATTATTTTTTATTTTCCTCATTATTGCTGTATTTGTACATCAGTTGATTTAATACAAATGGACAAATAATAAAAAGAGATATATATACATGCATATTTTGTGTATTATTATAAATTAGGAACTTATATCGCTGCATTTTCAGAACAAAATGATCAATAATCCTGAAATTTGTGTATAATATCTGCGTATTAGTTTTTAATACCATCATAGTTTTTCGTCATAATCTTCAGAAGATATTAAAAATAGAAATTAAAACCAACACGCTAATTTCAAAGAACACGTGTAAAAAATGTCAATTTTAGTTGCAAATATCTCAACATTTGCACGGCCATTCTTTTCCTAATTGCACAATTTGATAATATTTCAATGTATACGTAGTGCAAATCACAAATTCTTCGATTCTTATCGAAATTCATTTCGTCTTATATATATATAGTCTCCTTAAATAAAATAAAACACAAATTGTTAATATATATCACAATACATGCTTATTCGCCGCACACGTTTGTCGATAGGTTAGTCGATGGGTTAAACGATGCCATATAAAGTCGCTTCGGGAGAGGGAGACGGTCGAAAGGGACGGGACGATGCGAACGGAAAATTTTTCGGCAACTTTCAACTTTCGCCTCGGCAAGGCTGAATACTTCGCTCTTCCGTACATTGTCCGCTCCTCCGCGACGATTACGTAATGCACAATCGTTAATCGCGATCGAATGCACGAATTCGTGACGTGCTGCTTTCACGTATACACTATCTTCGATTTGTACTGATAAAGCGCACGCCTCGGCAACTGTTTTCGATAGATAACGCGGGTTCTATTATTGCCACGATCGATTAATCCATTTGTCCCATTTTTGCGATCTGTCTTGTCCGATTTTTGTTATCTGTTTATATCGCTGCCTTAATGTCTCCACGATGAAGTTCTGCGGAGTAACCGGAATTCGAAATGCGTTGCCTTATTTTATCCTTTGATCAATTTGGAATCACCCGAAGTGACGTCAAAATTGTCGCGACCGACTGAAAGTGGGCCCCGTCCCTCACAAGAACGATTAAATCGTCGGAAATATGAATGAAAAAAATTATATCACGCTAGAATTATTTATACGATAGATAATAAAAGCCAATAAGAGTCAAGCAGGTGGATGGTCGCGATTAATAATTTCTCGCGGATGGATAATAACATCGTAAGCATCAATCTGCGCTACTCTAATTAGCCACTGTAATATTTCCACACATAGAGAGCGAAAATGTCTAAAAAATAAAAAATATTTATTCAGTACTAATAACGTGTTTACTTAAATCTAAATTATTTTACCTAAGTATATATAGAATAACCAATTATCTTCATAAAAGGGTTCAAAAACAACGTTCTATTTCCTCATTTGAAACTAATTTTTTTCCCAATAAATATACATGAAACTGAAAAAACTAAAACTAAAAGACTGTAAAGATGTATATCAGTACAAGTAAATATGTTATTAATATCCACACCGGATAAACATTGTTTTATTTGACAGACATTTTATACATTCTCTCAATGTAGTAATTGAATATTTGAGAACTATAATATAAACTTACTTCTAAAAATGTAGCGATATTCTCGTTCGATTATTCCATGGGTGTTCTATGGCTAATTATTTTTGTCGGGCATGAGAGATATCTCAATGAATCTTTTCTAATTCGGAGTTAGTCGGATATATCTCCGATGCCGACGCTTTGATCGCACGCATATAGCACACAACTAAGCGGAATTATACAAATGGCGGACCCTTT